TGTCTTTACTTTCCTCCCACTTCCATGGGACGATCTCGCATTTACAACGTGTAACTCTGGTTCCTGGGAATATATTTGCTGAGGCATATACTAACGACTCAGACACGACGATTACTGCTTCAAGCTGCACCAAAGCCAACGTCGATGCCAACCAACAGCGCCTCGCAATGGTATCAGAAAGGCGAACCGATGCCAGCTGGGGTGACTTAGGAATTTCGGAGGAATTTACCACAGGCGAGTCCAATAAGCCGAACCCTCAAGGCCTCATCAGATGGCTAACGATGCGCATCTTGTATCCTAGGAATCTCTCGCCTGAACACGCCGTCATCACCTAACCCCTGGCACATTCTCATCGGGGATGTATAATACCTGGCGCAGGGACAGGATGGAATTTCTCAGATGTTTCGTGCTTGGTGAGTCTTGTCGTTCTCGGAGCTCTCTGTTTCTCATGCGTTGCCGTTACAGAGGTTTTCTTGCTCTGATTCGACGGAAAGGATGGGCCTGGTCAGAGCACGTCACTGGTTCTTGACGATGCTATTCCCCATACATCCACGTTTGGCTTTCTTACGCAGATCCTCATACACCTCACGCTTGCCTTAGCTTCGCTTAATGCGTCATGGTCAGTTCCTCCAAAGGCTTTTGCGAGGTCTTTTCGTGTAAGTTCCCCCTTTTCATTCATATAACTCTTCATCTCACATTCTCAATGCAGAATAAAGCTCCGTCGTGGATGCATTTGTGCGGTATCCGCTTAGCTTCGTGTACGTGATGGTATGTCAATGTCCTTGGCTTTAATGACTACCATTCTGACTCAGTATAGTCTAAATTGCGCTTTTTCATGTTGTATTTAATGATTACCCTGTTCTCGAATCTTCTGCGTGACCGTGAACCCTAGAGCTGAGATGCGTGTCCCCGAAGGACCTGTAATACAACATCGAGTTGCCTGCATGTGCTTAACACACCGCTCGACGGTGTTCTTGCGATGTAATCTCTCTCTGCGGTCTCTGCGAACCATGACTTAAGACCTGGCATTACCATTCACCTTCCCTTCCTTGCGGACTCTGTGTCGCCTGTTCTTTTGTTTAACTAACTCTTTTTCGCGCAGTCTGACTAGAGTCCGAGAGCTGCAAGATGTTCCTCATTGTTGAACACGGGTCTGCCGAAGTACTATACAAAACCGCGCGTTGCATGTTTTGACAATCACGTCACGACTATTTCCCAACGACGCGACAAGAGCGGATTGGATGGATAAGGTGAAGGAGTGGAAGGGAGGAATGACAGTTGGTTCATCTTCCCACGTCTCCCTGTCACGCCAGTGGAGAAGTCAGTAGACTAGGAAAGTTCGTCCTAGCCCACACTTCGGGGATAAGCTCGACACCACGGCACGCTCACGTTTTTTCGCTCCCCTGATATGCAGCAGAACGATGAACAAGGGCGTTAAAATATTGCACGTATTGCGATCCTGAGCTCAGAATGCCACCATTATTTAGTATGAAGCATGAGAAATGTACGAAAATTGAACCGCAGTGCCGTTGACCTTACAACAGCCTAAATTGCCAAAATTGATATCTCCGCATTCATTCGAGTTCAGAGAGTGGGAACCGAACCCACAGCATTGCCACCGACAGAGCCGGTGTACTACATCTGACTGCCATTATGTACACGAGCGATACTTAAGTTGTACTGTCCGCCAACGCGATAATTAATTCGATAGCTCATGCGCTAATTAAAATCACTCCGGTGAGTAGCAGAAGTAGCTTGTATTCGCTGGGATTACAATAGACGTGTCTCAATTCCAATTCAGGGCATCGAGAGGTTCCATATCTCTTGTAGTGGCAGCTGTCCCGTTAGGTGATCGAGCCAGCAACAGTACGTATCATGCCATATTGGACGTGGTATAGCTGGTTCAAAGTCCGGTTCTGAGAATACCTGATACGCCCAGCAGCAAGCCACAGCTTCATCCCAGAAAGGAGACACTTTTTTGAGATGCAATATTTTGCGAGAAAATCACAAAGAGGGTAGAGTTTCACGGAGAACCATTGCTGTCGCACCCTGAGCAAATCGACCGGCCACGATCCAGCTTTATTTGAAAATCGCAAAAATAGGAGCATGTTTATTATCTCATATCCACCATCAGTCATGAAATACCGTTTGCATAGTGTCGAAATAAGGGTAGAGAAATAGGCCGAACCTTACACCTCAATGAAAGAGCGCCTCCCCAGCAGGAACGACCCATCCCCAACAGCCGCGAGCATCTGTAGGTTGGTATGCTGCATATCCGTATTGGTCAAGAAATTATCGAAACAGTCTACATCGAGTCTAAGAAAAGACGCCGGAGTGGACAACTTGTCAGTAAATGTACCAGAACCAATTTCGTATCGCACTGTGAACGAGCCATGAGAAGGACTCGTAATCTTAACCGGAAAAATTCCGTGGAATATTTTACACGGATCCAAAGTCATCGTGGGATTTTGACGCATGGACGTGTACCTAGACACCGTAGTAAAGCGCGCCACAAGTTAGACGGCAGTGATAAAATTTAGATCTAAAAAAGAAGAAAAGATTACGCCAAGCCTGCAAAAAGGCGAACAGCAACACCCGTTCTGGTGTACAAAGGACGCAACCGGGTAACAGAATAAAGAACGGTCTGCGCGACGTTGGATGACAGATCGTTCCGTACAGACCACTAATATTCCTGGTTTGTTGCTCAGGATCAGATAGAGTACTAGTTCAAGAAGACGGTTTGGAAACGCGATAGGTTTAAATTCAAAGATTCTGAAATACAACCTAAGTCGTTGCACGAGGAGTGAGGAAAAGCGCATCATTAAGACATCTGACATCAACGTACAGGTATGTACATAAAGCGAAACTGGCGTCGCCTTCAAGAATCCTGCATGGCCCACCATCGGTGTACTATCTTCCATCCTAGAATCCTAGAAGCGAGACATCGGATCGTATGAAAGTCAAGACTCGAAAATTAGGATTACCTCCGAATCATTAGGAAAGAACAGACCATCTTGCATCAAGGACAGTAGGGTGACATTTATGGATCATTGCATGACGACATAACAAGCAGATGTATACATCGAGAACGAGCGATGTAGGCTCGTCCGGCCAGTCTCATTCTTCGAATCGGGGGAAGAAAAGTCTGCGGCAGCGAAGTATGAGAAGGAGAAAGCTTTGAGAAACAATTAGAACTATCGTTTAAAACGCTGCAAGGAGAATCTGTCACATCCCTGCTCCGTTTTCAATTCGAAAGGCGACCTCAGTCGTACAGGGCTGTGGACGACGACAACCAGCTCATGTGAGAAGGTACTACTACCTGGATACAAGATTCACATCAACGAACGATGAGCGAGAGTATGGGTTTTGCGACTCACCAAGAGCGAGCACCTCTCAGTCACCCCAGTTGGAAGATATCCCTCGGCCTCTCGTTTTGTCGCTAATGGTGAGGCCAAACATCGTCCGAGTCTGCGGTAAAGGCTTACCTGAAGGCATCCGTAGGAACGCGAGTTGAACATTTGGACAAGCCGGATCGACCTGTCTAGTGAAGTGGCAGTTAGAGGGAAGGAAGCTCTGGATCGGACTTTCAATCACGGAAGCAATACCCTGGACACGGGATGCGCACGGACCCGCTACGTGTTTCCGTGGGAATTCGTCGAAGATTCCGTCATCTCTCGATCATCCCGTAATCGAGTTCTCGTGCTGGAAGAAAGGAAACTGCTCAGGTTCGTATTTTATCAATAGCATATGCATATGAACGCCCGTAACTGTAATCAGATCCTCATTGTTGAATATTTCGGGGCCGAAGCACTGCACAAAATTGTCCGGCCCGACGTTATGACAATCCACTCACGAGTCACGACTACCATTCCCGAACACGTCACCAAGGTGCATGGATAAGGTGACGTTGTGGTCTGTGAGGAAGGATGCTAGCGGGAGGAGAATTCCGTGACACAAGTGGATCGGTTGATTGCCTTCACGATGATTCGAAGGAGTATTCATAGCACGGAGCGTCCCAGCGGGCGGGATGATCGAGGTAGGTGGATAGACGCATCATTTCTCTCTTGGATTTGTTCTCACAGATGTCATTCAAAGGCTGGAAGGTTACTTTATCCCAACCGGGAGGATGACGAGTCAGCAACAAAAGTTAGTCCTGCCAGACATGTTAAAGTGGTTTCAACGATCTCAGGCATTCATGGGAATGATGGAGGGCAGCGGAGCCCGGATGCCTGTGCAGGAAAACTTAGGCATTGAAGTCGCCAGGCAAGAGACATATGGACAAAATAGTGGGAGGAGGACTTGAGGTTCTGCCAACGGAACGTTCACACTACTGTAAGTCGTCCTTTTCGACCCACTGGTCGATTTCTGATGGGTCCTTCTTATGGAAATATTTCTACGCCGAGAATGACTCCAATAAGAAAGCTTAAACAGGCATAAATATTGCCTTTGCCCAACCATCTTCACAGGCTCCAAACGGCAGAGGTCTACATGCTATTTTCGAGAACTCGCTGTTGTTGAAGCCTCTGAAAGAAGGTTACCTCTGTGTCATCTCCATTCAATTCATCCTCTCAGCGGACAATCCAACACCGTAGTCCCATTGGCCCAGTCTTTCGCAAAGTCGAGAACTCACTGTGATAAATGCAATTTCTACCAAGACATGTGCATACAACGTTTCGATAGGTAACATGCGCACCACTGGAGCCTCGTACCGCCAACGACGACTTTGTCGAGTTCGATGCTGCGAGACAGAATGGCGACGAGTGGGTTTTTTAGGGCGGGGAACCGACGTTGAAATGAGCAGGACATTATGGCGACGGAAGCAGTCACGGGATGCCCATGTGCAGCTGATATATCGCTTCGTAGACTGTAAGACCTGAGCATTGATATATCACGGCGATGTATATCGACCAGTCTTTGATATATCAATTGGTTAGGTGCCCTTGAACACCGTGAAGGAGTTCACTGTACGCACTCGGGAGTCTGCGCTTTATCTGAGTGTTATGGGTGATCCGGTGACGGGTGTTGCACCCAAAAAGTACGTCCGTCTCATTGCCAGTCGGATTAGAATTGACTGAATAATGGTATAGTTTTGTGGATATCTTTTTCCGTGAAGAGCGTATGCCTATTAAGGAAGGGTGGACGAGGCCTACGACGTTAATTAGGGGTCAAACAATCTCTTCCATTGCGGACATCATCGAAGCGGCTTCGGAGTTGGGAGCGGCAAATGTCCTTTCATTCGGGTCAGTCCTGACAGTGATGTTACTTCTTGCCCGTGAGATGATAATTCAGTAATTGATTCCTGTATGAATTTATAACTTTTTCCGTCTTTCCCCCTGGTGGTTAGACATTCCTACGAGTGGCTCTTCATCCAGTTCTGGTGACTCTGAATCAGACAGCTACAATGCAGAGATACAAGACGGATATAATGGCCGCCGTTATCTAAGATCCGTATTTCCCAGAGTCGTCATTATCGAGGACGGGCCAGGTTTCTCTCTCAGTATTTCGCCTCTGGTAGCAAAATTCAATTAGCGAGGGAATACATAGGTCAGTATATTCGAGTTCGGGACCCAATTCCCCAACTTTATAAAGCCAGAAAGTTATATTTGTACGTATTCTCTAAACTTCGGTATCCATCTCTGGTATATTTAGGATATGATAAAACGGACTATCCCCCTCCCTCGACGGCCAGAATCAAAAGCACGGATTGACCCATTGATATCTCGGGTTCCTGACGGTGAGCGTATTCGCTACAAGCCACGGAGATGCCCGTTTGCACTTACGTTGACTTCTGGGATGATGAAACAGCTCGGCAGGTGCCCCTAAAATAGCACAGGGTATTTCAGGGTCGCTTGGAAAACCTCTTTCATCCGAACTACTTTGGCCTTTTGCTCTTTGGTATCTCCCAGCCTTTCGAGGGAGCTCTTCTCGATGCCTACCAATCCTGCGATACTCGCGAGAGCACGACGTGCTGGTGAGGCCATTCAAAGAAAGGTCTGGCGTCGGTTCCCCATTCTATCTCGACTGTACTCATTCTGCGCATAGAAACAAGTCATGAAAGGCTCCGTCTCCGTTTTAGACGAGATTCCAGGTTCTCAAATTCTCCCCTCGTACATCGAGGTCTTCATGCGCCACCTTTCCCCCGACAAGGTTCCCTCAAGCGATGGGGACTCGTCAAACAGTCCCTCCACTATCATGGCAATGGCTTGTTTTCGAGCCATATGTAGGGGCCTCGACCGAGACTATTATCCAGGATCAGACACGGGCTTCGTCGAATTATGGCCAGGGATACGCGCTTGGAGTCTCTACTTCATTTCTGTATGCACATCCGAGGATCCTGCGGTGTCTGGTGTAGGTTCTGATTTGACGGACATGAGGATTGCGACTGCCATGTGCCTGCGATCCCTCGTCGGAATCGTCTCATACATGAAAATCATTTCTGCTGATGATCCGCTACACCCTCACCTTGTCGAATTTTGGCGCGAGTCATGCCTGTCACGCTGCCATACTGCTGTCCGTCATTTGAGCTGCTTATTGCATTCAATTCTAGTCATGCAGGAAACGCGATGGGTCGGTAGGTCCCCGTTGGAAGTGGACCCAGCAGAGACGGCGAAACTTTGCTTCGATTCAGTTTTGGAGGACTACGCTGACGGTGTTCGGTATGACGGTGATGATATGAACGGTTATTGTCTGAACTTCATGATCACCATATGTAAGTCACCGATTCTAGCAGAAGTGGCCATACATGAGGAAAGCGTAAGGTTTATATGCAGTCTCATGCGCCAATTTGCCGTCACGATCATCCGTCTCCCACCACCTCCCAATTCCAGACTTTTGAACTGGTTTGACAGCACAGTACATTTCTTACGCGCCAGTATCTCGCATCCCACTCTCCCTATAATCCTTGCGATGGTCGATAACCGCGTTTTAGAGATGCTTCTACGTATCTGGCCTCTTCTCCCGCCTGAGGAGGGTTACAGTGTGGAGCCCGTCATTCCCTCGATTATCGACAATATTACACTCTATACCTCCTACAGATCAGTCACCCACTGTGTTATTCGTTCTATCATCTCTTTGGACAAGAAGGGTGTCGTTGTGGACATCAAAGATTATACGGCGGATATAGTTCGCGCTTGGTCAGATCTAAAATCGATCGCCCAAAAGCGTTATGCAATCAGGGGTGTGTGCGATAAACTACGCAATGTCTGCTTTGCAGTGAGTCTTCCATTCCTAAGACATAACTGCTCTCTTCTCATTGCATTCGACATAGTGCCGACGTGTATACGGAAGGAATATGCAATGCTGTTCCAAATGTGAAAGCGTCCAGTACTGCTCTATGTCGTGCCAACGGACACACTGGAAGACGGAGCACAAAGCTAAATGTATCAAATGTGAGTTCAAACACGTTTGAGGCCCCCAGGCGATTCTAATCATATATCAGCCAAGGTTGGCTTGAAGGATAGGAAATACCTCGCCTACCTCGCTCAAGTCACAATCATCGAACACGACAGGACTCTTCTACCAAAGATATCTGACTTCATGAGCGAATTCTCCATCACAGAGCGTTCTTCTCTGGCAATTGAAGTTGACCTGCGCGAGAACCCAATAGTACCGAAGTTTTCAATAAAGAGGATTGCTGACATAGCTGAAGAGGCAGGGGAGATCAAACCGTGGTTCGCCGACAATCATCAGGGAGAGCGTGATACTTGTGGGATGGTACGGGTTTTAGCGCCTGGAAACTTTGATCAGTCTCATGTATTTCCGGCCGGGTGGACTTTGGCGAAGTTGACAGTGTAGGGTGGTGGTGGTTTAGGAAAACAGCCGTTGATAACGTGTTCATTTTATAGTAATAATTCCTGTCTCTGATCTCGCTTAAGTGAGAAGATAACGACTCCGGTTAATGTTCATTCGTCAGTTTATCGAGCCCCCCTCCACCGTTTACGCCGCTTGTGTGGTTCGGACCACCGAAGTAGGACACACCTGAAGCATCGGAAAACTGAAGACGAATTATGAACAAACTGCCCACTCAAATCAAACTGTATTAAGAGGAGTTAGATCTGAGGAGCAGAAGAAAGAGCTGCCTGCACGAACGTTAATGGGAATGCTGGATCTCTTGAACAGATTTCGTGAGGGAAACAGTGTTATTCAATCGGAAGAAGAGTAGCTGAAGGCGTAACACAGACACACTGTGTCGGGTTACAACACCTTCGGTGATGAACTCTTGGCTCATGGCCATGTGTGTGCAATACACACCAAATCTCGACCACTTCACAACATGGTAGTTTCAATCACAACTAACGGAAATACGTTCTAATATGTCATACGGCGAAAGTCATCAAGGCAGAAGATATTAACGTACAGTGAAATAAACAAAGCAACGCCGATTTCACACATGATGAACCAGTCGTAAATTTTTATTCTGCATTCCGGAAGTGAGATGCTGAATTACAGGAACGGAAGGGAACACTGACCGGAATGCTAGCAATTCGGGAAGAACAGGCCGCGAGTGCGATGAGTCACGTTGAATATATCAGTGCGAGCAACGTCCAAACGACGACTCCAAAAAGATATGGCTGCAGAAGACCGCTCGATGCGCTCTGACTGCAGTATCAAAACATGAAAATGAGAGAGCGTTGAGCACGACAGGGGGGCGTAGCTCCCAGCATTGCTTAGAGATGCTAACTTGTCCCAGCGCCATGAAGCTCGAATGTGAACAGCGAGCTCGATCATCTGGGAGACAATCAAGACGACCTTTCACGAGGAATTCCCGCTACTGACATACAGGAGAAACATCAGTAAACGATCGGCAATATTTGGGTTTCTGAAACTCACCCGGAGTGAATTACCAAATAATCCTAGGCTGCAGATTTGTTGGTCCATGTTACGCCGATTGCAATGCCAAATGTCGTGTCCGATTCTGTTCAATTGAATGGGAGGACAGAAGTTACACAGTGAGGAGAGAAATCCTAGGCTGGACTCCTAATCACGGTAGCAGTAGTCATAACACCAGGTGCGTACGGACCCACGGCGTGATTCAGTATGACAGAACTTCCAAAATAATCGTGTCGTCCTTAGCTTGAAGACGTGGATAAGCGACGAACGGATCTACGAGTGTTTGGCACACTGTTCCGGGGTCCTCGTAATGATACGGCATCGGAAGACGGTAGACAAATATCTGCCACCGCCATGATAGACTGGGCGGCATCCTCGGGATGTCTTTACAAATTATACACTGTACAATCTTGACTCCGAAAATGGGTTCCTGTCGATATCAAGCCCAGCAATCAAAATCTCCGCCACGTACACTTCGCCCGAAGAAAAGACGGCCTCAATCTAAACTCTTGGTCCTTGATTCTCTTGGAGAAAACACGACGTATCATTCCGGAATGAGTGCCGAGAAAGGACGGAAGGCAAGGACTCGCGACAAAATCATGCAGTGGCAGAGGATTGTGGCAGAATGAGAGCTTCTTCGGGAATATCCGGCTCCCACCCGATCAAGCCCTTTCAATGATCTTCACCCACATGAACAACGCAAAGCTGAGGTCGATATACCACTAAATAATCCTAATCAGGATATTTATTTTTATGATTGCCGTAAGTTTCCTTCTGGATCTTGATCTGTCTGCAAGATACATTGCAATACCTTGGAACAAAATTTGCACCAGGCTCGAGAAATGGCACACAAGGGGAATCGAACCACCGGCTGCAGAGACAAGGGCGCTATTAACTACTACAACGCGTGGTTAACAACAGCTACTGTCGTTAAACTCATCGATCGCGAAGGCAATAATGGCACGGTCCAATGAAGCGATGACGAACCCAGCTGAGGCCTTGTCCGAATATCCGACACGCGATCCTAACATGGATATCTGCTCTCCGTTCTCACGCGCCATCTCCGTCTCCCAGTTGATGTCTTCCATAGATCGATACGCATCCAGTCCACAGCCACTGTTGCCGCAGTCACTGGCACACAGTAAAGCACGATAGCATCCTTCCCACCCCAGAGCTCAATATACTTAGTGCAAAGGCCAATCCGTTTCAGTCCGGAGGCTCATCCGCCTAATCCGATGTTTTGAACTTCTTAAATCAAGTAAGTAACAGATGACTAAGTGACTAACACTCAGAACTTGAATGGCTGGTGTGGTTCCGCAATTCGAAAGATACAGAGCTTACGGCAGAACACCGACCTCAGTGATGGCTTGATGTACTTCGGCAGCCCAGTGTTCAACAATGAGGACCTCTCGGACTCTAGTCAGACTGTGCGAAAAAGAGTTAGCTAAACAGAAGAACAAGCGACACGGAATCTGCAAGGAGGTGAAGGTGAATGGTAATGCTTCGCAGAGGACGCTGCGAGCGGTTACATCGCAAGAACACCATCGAACAATGTGTTAAGCAAATGCGGACAGCGTGACGTTGTATTACGGGTCCTTCGACGTCACGCATCTCATCCCTCGGGTTCATGGTCACGCAGAAGATTCGAGAACAGAGTAATCATTAAATACAACATGCAGAAGCATAATTTAAACTATAGTGAGTCAGAATGGTCCTCATTCAGGCCAAGGACATTGACATACCATCAAGTACACAAAGCTAAGCCGACATTGTACAAAAGGAATCCGCGATGGAGCTTTATTCCGCATCAAGAATGTGAGATGCAGAGTGATATGAACGAAAAAAGAGTATTTACACGAAAAAGCCTCGGGAGAAACAGGCCGAGGCACGTTGGGCGAAGCTATGGCGAGCGTAATTAGTGAGGTGCATGTATATTTGCGTAAGAGCATCGAAAGTGGACAAAGGTGGACGTACATGGAATAGCATTGTCGAGAACCAGTGACGTGCTCGGGCCAGGTCCATTCTGTTTATTGAATCAGAGGAAGAAGACCTCGGGAAAATATGAGAAAGAGAGAGCTTCGAGAATGACAAGACTCACCACGGACGAAACATCCCAGAAGTTGCATCCTGTGACTGCGCCAAAGAATTAGAGAATGCGCCAGGGGTTAGGCGACGATAGTGTGTTCACGCCAGAGATTCCTAGATAACGAGACGCGCATCGTTAGGCAGATGACAAGGTATAGGTTTCCTAGACTCGCCTGTAGTAGATTCCTCTGCCATTCCCAAGCCACTTCAGCTGGCATCGGTTGATCTCTCTGGTATTAGTGATGTGCTGATGTTGGTGTCGATGTTGGCACTGGTGCAGCTTGCAGCGTTACGCGTTACGCATCGCGTCTGAGTCGTTGGTAGATGCTTCAGGAAAGATATTCACGGAAACCAGAGTTGCGCATTGTATATGCGAGACCGTTCCGTGGAAATGCGAGGAGAGGAAAGATAGTGGTAAGAAAGAAAGGAAGCACCAAGTCGGGCCGTCAATTATGGTGATGTACCCCGGACACCACGCGTTGGAACTCCGGAACTTCGCTTACAGCACGTCTGTTTGTGGTGATGTGGCTTGAAAGGTACTAACTATGCTAAGGAAGGCGAAGTGCTACACACACACACCCTAACACACTCAATAATTGCGGTTCGAAGGGGTAAGTTACACCGGGTTGATACTTGTACTGTGGATACTAGTTCCAGGTTGACAATGAATATAATTTGTTTGATTGCAATATTCTGAAACGACACAAATCTGAACTTTCTGTGTTACTGAACACAATCTGATACCAACGGGCTGCCTGGTGCAGTTTCCTGAATGCGTACTAACTGCCTGGTGCAGTGTCTGAACTGATACTGTCTGCCTGGTTGCAGTTTTACTGGTACTAACATGGATTCTGGACTGTACTTCTGACTGTCTGTCTGTATCTTTCTGAACTGACTGCTTTCTGAATGGTTCTTGCACACAAAACGTGACCAGGTCACTAAATACTATTCCAGGTGAGTCTAGGACTCGAAGCTCTTAACCAAAACCCATACTAATTTGCTTGGTAGCGTTCCAGGGGCCAGAAACCTGACTTCCCGCTAGTTACATGGACAGTATTTATACTATTCTACCCTATCTATATTTCCAATCTTTCCAGGTACTATTACTGCGCTTGCTGATGGAGCCAGGTGGATATGAGCTCACTTCCTGACAGATATGAGCTCATATCCCGGCTCCCAGGTGAACCTGATCATGATCTTGTGCTGCAACCTGGTGTCCTGGCTCATGATACTAAGTTTTACCTGTACCGGGGCAGTGCCCCTGGTGTTATGGTTCTTGTTTATCATCTACCCGGCGGGCCAACCGTTCGCCTGAGAGACTAGGGAAGCTGCCAGGTAAGTAAAGCCATATACAATTGTTCTTTATTTTGTTATTCTTACTTTCGGACCGATGCCATCCGACGGCCATCAGTGCCATGATGCTGGGTCGACTGGTACCATGTGCGTCGACCCGCCTGGTCCTTCGGTCACTCGGGCTGAGTCATCGGGTCACCGGCTCATCACCCGAAGCGTAGATATTGTATGGCTAAGTCCCAATGGTTTACTACGCTGGTTACTTCCCAGTTTCTTGTCTTTTCTTACTAGTATATGTAGAGATACAACTTGTAATGTTGTAAAATTGAATTTTACATGCCTTTTTCAAGTGTGTACACCCTGTAGGCATATCAGGCTTTCTCTCTTCTTCTCTCTTACCACAGCCTAGGTGCATTCTCTTCTTCCACTGTATAACTATTACTTCGACCTCATCATTGTCTAGAGATAAAATAAATCTGAATTTTAATTCTTCCTTGCTGTTTGCTTGTCCAAGCTCGAAAAACTGAGGAGTGTCCATAAAATGACCGACTATCCGCCAATGCCAATGCGTATCCCGACTGTTGTTTACTACCAACTGCAGAGGCCACGGATAGTGCTTCCTCCAATTAACCTTTCTGTGCCGAAAATGATGGCATCAACATCTGCAAGACGATGCCATTGCCGGCTGACGGTCCTACTGCAAAATCATGGCTTGGGATAAGGATGCCTCACTATTACTCGGATCGAGCTTGAGCATACTAGAGGAATGTGGGCAGGGCACTCTAACTCATCAGGTGCATTGCTTATAACCATCATAGATCCATATCTAATGATAAACAGGTAGCCCCCACTTGATGCTCGAAACCACTCCCTCAACAGCCTACAAAGCCGATGTCTGGGTCTTGACATCCCGGCATGTGCAAGCCCACATTTTGTGGCCTGCATAAAAGACAATTGACGGTACAGGAGTTCGAATCTAAGAGGAAAGTAAGTTGGACGTTATAGATTCCTACGAATGTACTGCGAGGGAGAAAGGAGGATGTGCAGTAGTTGATGAGCTACTTTTCATAGTATCCAGACATTGCCCAGAGGACGTCAGTCACATGACATAGAGTCAGAGATTCGATAGGTAAGCACATCCAATTTTCTATCAGAATTTCGCTTACTGCCTTCTCTCAGACTATGTTTATCTGCAAACGAATCCAATAACAGCCCGAAGTGGGAATGCATGATGACTCATATTGTAACCCCAGATCTGTGGAGTCCGAGATGGATCAACGGATGGAATACGGGAGCTAGAACCAATGTACATGAACTCATTAACATGTTGTTCCTTTCACAACCTGATAATTCTCTAAATGGAGACATGCTGACAGAGCATCGAGTTCTGGCATTCCAGAAGGTGTTGTTAGTACAGCGATTGGAGAGAACACAACGTCAACCTGGGGGTTAATGACGAGCAAGGATTATGAGCTCGATCTCGAATATCAGGTATCATCTCGAAGTTCTCAGCCAAATTATCAAGTGTGAGTACGTCCTTTCATGGTATGTAGCAAAGTCTCTTCTCTTTCCGCCTAAACCTTACGAAGCCCTGGCAGTACCAAATCGTCTCCAGCTTTCGATGACTGACACAGGCAGCACCTTTCCACTCAAGGCTCACTCACAGACCGTGTCATGCCTCTATGTCGAAACAAGACAGAGAGTTGCTGCAGTAATCGTTGAATGTCACGGCCGAGATCCCACAGGTAAATCTATCCCTTTTCTATTGGAGTATTTCTTACCACCTTCGCTCGCAGCATTCATGTCGCAAACGAATTGAACAACAGCAAAAAAAAGCATGACAACTTGAAGCTTCTTCCTATTCAGTGGGATCTCAAGCGAGCAATACAAAGAGACAACTTTAGATCTGTCGACACTTCGTTAGGAATAGAATCTGAACCAAGTGAATGGGATGGAATATACAGCTAGAACCAATGTTCACTGAACTCGCCAGTGCGTTCTTCTTTTCTGCAACCTGATCACTCTCTGAATGGAGGCATGCAAACAGGGTATCGAGTTCTGGTATTCCAGGAGGTATTGCTCAGATGGCAATTGGAGAGAGAGAACACAACATCAACCTCGAGTTTGACTCCGAGCTGGATGACGAGCTCGAGCTTGAGTATCAGGTACCACTCCAAAGCTCTCAGCCGGTCTATCGAGGTTGAGTGTGTCCTTCCACAGTAGGTAGCAAAGTCTTCTCTTTCCACTGCAAAACTGACAGTTCCCTCCCAGTACTAAATCGCCTCCAGCTTTCAATACCCAACACAAGCAGTGCCTTTCTGCTCAAGGCTCACTCACAAACCACGTCACACCCCCATGTCAAAGCGAGACAGAGAGCTGCTGGAGATGTCACATCCACGTTGCCCCACTGCAAAATAGCACCGTAATGAAAAGCACCACCGTAATCACGGTTCTTTGAGGGAAGGCATCTAGCCATCATCATCATAGCATTTGTTGACTTGACACACCGCAACTAGAGACTATTTGTCACTAAATTTCAAACTCTTTATGGCGCTATCACTTGCACTTATGAATACCAAGTCCTTATTCGTCATGAACTACCACCGTACAATATCGTACTATACATTTCTATTCTCAACATCCGTAGCTTATACTTCCTGCCAAATCCGAGTCTTCCACTGCACTTCCTTTGTTCAAATTAATTCCAAGACCAGTACTGATCCCTAATACCTGGCAGAAGAGTATCCATCTACATGGCACTCGACTCCTTTGAATAATCTAAAAAGACATAGGTCACTTACTATGGCTCAGAGTGAGCCCGCGGAACTACCAAGAGACGATAACAAAGGCTCCATTCAAACATAAGTTCTTCCTCATTCATGTCTTATGCTGACGTAGATCAAGGCATAACGGTGCACATCCATGGTTCAATTCTGTATGTCCACCCTAAAGGAGGCTATACCGTCCATATTATGCAGAGTTTCCCTGTAGTTACAGTGCAGCCCGGTATGCAGAGTTTCCTGTAACTACAGGTGAATGGAGTATGCAGAGTCGGAAGAGCTGCGCACAATGCTCTGCATACTCAGGGTCCTGTAATTTTCCCACATCCTTATCACACCACAATACCCTCCCCAACCCTCCGCCCCTCTGCCCACAGCCCCAAAAACACTGGGAATAATCGCCAACAATTAATTATTGACATTTTTTTGGTGCTCACATGATATTTAATTGATACTGGCTGATGCTGGGTGGCAACTGGGGTGTTGAATTTTCCACCCTTCTACTCATTGCCAGGGGCCCACAAAAGAGCGGGCTCAGAAAATATTATTTGATATACTTACTAGTACTGCTTCCAAACTGCTTCTACACCTACCCTTACCATATATTTGACTGAATGCACATTGGCATGGCTTGGATGCACAGACCATGGGAGTATACCATTCCCGATTTGGTATACAGTTTGGAAATTGCAAAAGCAGGCAAATTTTGGGATAGTAGCCAGTATATTACACTTATTCAATTAAAATATGACAAAAGAAGCAGTATATGATTGCTCTATCTTGTTTATATCATATAATGTATGGATACTAAGGACAAGAAGTACTCCGACATTTTCCGGAGTTTTCTGAAACACCCCTAACCTGCTCACAGTAAGCAAATAGGTCGAGATTGTACAGTCCTGAAATTCTCTCAGTGCTTAGAAATATAATTCAAAATGTCTATTAGCTTCTTTAATGTTCTATGGATCTTCTCTTTGCATGTTTTCCATCCTGTGCTAATGGTGTGCTAATGTAGACATGAATTATGATCTCAGAAGTATGCCAGAGACATGTGTAAAAGGCATACCTCACAGTACATGCTTAAATTGAAGTATATTACCCAGCGATGCATGGTCTGTACTTATTTGGAGTGATATGTGTCACAGTGTATATCTGCCCTGGCAGAAATATACCTTGGTCAGACAAAATTGCACCAGGTGAGATTGTGCATGTAATGTTCTTTTATGAGTTCACTTCAACAAGAAATGCAATTACAAGGCACATAAAGGCAGATCACCATGGATCAGACATCTGCTTTGGTTAATGTAATACATAAAATTTTATTTTCAACCATTCTTACCCTTGGAATGGTTGCACATACCTGTGTACAAATGATATATCCTTGAAATGTCCTAAAATGCATGATATTCACCATAAATAGCAGATAAATCAAGGGATAGATTATATACTATAAAAAGTACACGAATGTATACTAGAGCATTTATATAGTATATTCCTGTCAGCTTTCTGGGATCTGGAGTAAAGGATTCAAGCAGAGGATGCATCCCGAGCATCCATTCCACTCATTCAATTCGCTCCGGTCTGGTAAACCAGAGATTGAGTGGCTGTACCCCTTCTTTTTTCGTCTCACCTTTTCACTGTCAGTCTATGGTGTAGTCACTTGCCTGCCCCCCACTGCTCGTTTGAATGGAAATAAAGGTATATTTCATTACTTTTAATGCTAATATAGGTTTTATAGGTACTTTTGATCCATCTGGTGGCCTCTGGATGGCCTGGATATTGTGCATCAAGTCCCACTCACCTGCGTGTAAGCCCTCCTGTAAGGCAGCATAATTTCCCCCTTCTAAATGATGGAGAATTGCACTACCGCCATCACTCTTTTACTACAGCACCTGCCAATTCTTGCCACCGCCATGAAGCCCTGTCCTGTTGTTGTTGCGACCCACCTAGCATCTCCCACATCGAAATCAGGGCCAATTGCCATTCACTACGGCTTCCAAATGCATTAGCGATGCCTCATTCACTCGATAACTCAAGATCCACATCCATCTGCTGCCAGGAGGGTGTATGGATGCAAAGCTAACCATCATGATGACCAGGACGACAACGACAGTGAGGTGTGAGGCATAGGGAGGTCTTGAGTATAGGGTATGACCATGCCAATAGCAGGCTATGGATGGAGTGGAAGCAGGGGTGTGCTTGGGATGGGTGAGAAAGCAAGAGGGTATGGGCAGGAGGGTGAGAGCAGGGTCAGGATGCTGACAGTGAACGACACTGATGACAATGGTGTTATTTGAGGCATTAAATGAGGGCTTAAAGGTGTTGTGAACGAACCCACATTCATGGCTACGCGATCATGGATACCCCCTCCATTGCCTGCTGCATCCCATCCAACATTGGCCTCTCGTATGCCACCCAGCTCACCCACCCACCTCAAACTCATGCATCCCTCATTATTTCGACCAGGTAACATGCATCATAGCTCCGTTTACCCCCTCAATGCCATGGCTGTCATCTACTGGCTCCCTATCTCAACACCCACCTTTTCCCGCTCACATCATCCCCCCATAATAATGTAACAATCACTGCACCATCAATATCATTGCTTCCTTCTACATGAGGCTTCATGGATGCTATCAACACTTATGTCCTGCCATGCCCACCTGTACCGCATTTTATCTACATTTTATATGCTGTACTATATTTCAATTATATTCATTTTATTTGATAATAATATGGGTCAATCCCTTTTAGGCAGGCATTGGGAGGACGACAAGAGGATGTCTCCTCATCATTTGTGATGATGATGGCAAGGTGAAAGGACATGGGGGCAATATAAGAATATGTAATTTTTTTCTAGGAGTATGCAGAGTATGTGTCTTGGGTATGCAGAGTGGTATGCAGAGCGCATCTCTCCAGCGCCACTGTCCTGTAGTTACAGGAGACTCTGCATACTGGCTTGCACTGTAACTACAGGAGATTCTGCATACTGTGGACAATAAAGGTTGCCTAAAGATGAATCATGGTAGTGATCACTTTTTGCAACCTATGCAAAGTTAGGATCGAAAGAGAACAACTAGGTAGCATTCCCTGTCCTAAAGAACTATAAACCATCAGAAAACCATCCAAGAAGTTCAAACCATGGCCAGCTCTTTGTTGGTGTCTGCAGTAACGTTCTCCACCCCCATCCCTGCATGTTACCTCCTGACTTCAATAGATATAAAGGCCCTCCTTGCCTTGATGATCACATTTGTTCCGTTCTACATCCTCCTCTCAGAAGCCTGAGTTCTTGTGGCAAAGTAGATCAACAGTGTAATGAAAGGCTATCTGTGGTTCGATTTCATGGGTCAGCTCATCATTGTTTTGTGATAACATAGATCAGACTCCATACCACTTGTCAGTATAAAAGTAAATAGCTATAGATAGGATGCCATCACATAGATCACAGGTACATCTGCATCTAATGACTTGGTTCGAGTCCGAGGGATGGTACTGGATGGGCGACAATGTTTTGTATTTTTTGTTGAGTCTTGAGTGGTAGAGATGTCGGTGTCTATACCTTCCTGAAATTTCGAAGTGTTGGAAAACAGGGTATCTGTTCGTTCCCAGTGTCACATGCATGGTAGCAAGCCAATAGTATTGCGCTTGGCTGAGCTCTGCAAACACATGAGGATCTACCCTAAAGTACCTACTTTTATACTAAATGTACTTTTACTAGAACTTTCCATGCTTTTCCTAAGACTTCTACCTTAATAAGCAAACTCGGCATGATGCCGGTGATATGCCATCTACGCGTTCACACCTAGATTTTGCGATTTTATAACAATACTGTTGCAGGTCTATCCTATACTAGTCATATATCAAGGGCTATAGTTGAGACTTCGGACTGATAGTCAAGTTAGCATGCTACTAATCGAGTCAGGACTTAGGAATGATACCACTAGTGGGTCAGCCCTACCAGCCGACCGGACTAGCACCTCCAAAGCTAGTATGACTTCGTAAAATACGGTCACTAGTAAAGAATACAGCTGCTAGCACCCAAACAAGAAGTAAGAACCCACACAGACCTTGACTATTCAGTCGCTAGTGGACTGATCTGGGCATGAATGCCTAAGTCAGGATGACTAGTCACGCAAGCACTTCTGAAAGGACTTAGAAACGAACCAGTAAAGGCATAACCCTTAGCCCAGATCCGGCTAGTGTGATACAGATCTCATACGATCGGCACTAGTATAGCCAGGCTGCACCCTGATCATGATCGAGCAGTTGCTACAGGCACGGTTACCCGACTATTCGTATAGCCATGTCACTAGTGGAGCACTGCTGGGCAAAGGGTGCAGAAACAACCCAATAGCAGAGTCCCTCGACCCACTATCTGACAGAAAGAACAGGCTAGGCCGACTATTGCATGATTATTCACCATAATTCGTGACTAGCCAAGATATCCTTACCAATATTACCCCTAAAGAATCTATTTATATTTATTCTGTACCTGTCTCTGTAGTATATAAGTAGTAGAAGGGGCCTCGCAGGCCAGGCAAGCCATCCCCACGATTGTGACCTACTAGTCCATATTCTAGTGCCCCAATTAAAGGCTTTTGTGCTTAACCTTGATGAAGTGTCTACTAGTCACTTAGTCACCTATAGTATTGAATGAATTGAAGTGTCTTAAAGTTACTATTTCGCCTTGGAGTGACTCAGAGCGTTTCGAAGTTAGTTAAAGTATTTTCTCGGAGTTAAAGTATTTGTTCTTAGGCCAAGAGTGCCACTAGTCGAGCCTAGGGTGCTGCTAGTCAAGTGTAGACCGCTTGTGAGACCCAGTATTTGGCCCAGAGTGCCACTAGTTTCGAAGTATCAGAGTTAGACCGAGCGCAGTTGCTCAACCCAAGTCGCTATTCATCCAATCGTGTCTTAAAACCCTGCTAGCATGAGTATTACATCTTGTGTAGCTCACTAGTACCAAATATATGTCTTTAAACAACCTTTCCCTGATTTGTTGAAGTCTGCAGAGTGCTTCTATTGTACTCGAAACACCTGAACTCAATAATATTGATGATTAGTGTAGAGTAGTAGAGGGTTTTGGTGTTGTGGTGTTCATATCCATTTACTAGCCTTTTGTCACTTGCCGTTACCAAGCACATCACTATGGCCTCATACCTTGTCCAATTTTTTCTTATACACACATCTTTTTTATTTTCCCAATATTGTCAAAATTCAAACTCTGTCTAATGAAAAAAAAATTCTGGGATCATCTGTAACCGATGGCTCAGTGGTTGGAATACAATGTCATTCCAGGAAACATCAGTATGCCAAGTCCTTTCCAGATGAACTAAAAAGTGAAAATGACTGACAGATTCTAAATATGTTCAAGCTGTTAGGGGGACAGAGAGAACTGTGTTATGCCAATATCCATTCATGCTAGTGAACCATTGCCTATCTGGCAAATTTTTCTCCTAATATTGATTAGATGCCAACTCTTTAGCTGGGTCATGAACATTAGCCTCATGATTGCCCCCGACACTCATTCGTCAGTTACAGTGATGCACACTACTTCCTGTCATCCTATCATGCTGGGTAGATTAGTCACCATTATGACCTTCTGCTCCACATCTCATCAGCATCGCAGTAAGATGTCAGCCCACAGACTCTGTCAGTCATGCATCTTCTCGTGTGTGGTGTGGCCATATCCTCCTGATATTGTCTGTTGCGACTTCATTTCCTCTCTCTTGTGCATGACAATGATGCATGGCATACTGTCTACTATGCCATTTCCTCATACGTAGGGTACATCAGTACTCTTATCGTGCTACCCCAATGCTAATTCTTGTGCTTGAGGTAGGAGTGATCATTCTATGATGCATGGACCTAATGTTGCTCTGCAAAACTGGGAAACTGAGTAGCTGGGATCATTGTGGTTAATTAACAACATTGGAACACCTGGTGCAGAGCTCTACTTAGTTCTCACCCATTCTCCCTTTGTCCTGCTGAAATTTTTTACTGATATTCCTCGTTATGTGCATGCATGGACAAGAATATGATGACAAGTCTGATTTCGAATGCCCTCATCCATGGAGGGTATCATATTGTTTTCTGCTCAAAACATCACTCTCGATTTTTGGTCGACATGTCTTCAGGTCAGAGGACTAGGACAGCTCTCAGTCATACAAATCATGACACAACTTCATCGTTCCAGTGCTAGGTAAATCCTTCACAGTGATCATCATGCTTTCCATCTCACTGACATTGCAGGAGGCGTTCGATGCTCAGACTCTTCATTAAAATGAATTCCACTATTTTGAACCTTCCTATGGGTATCACCAGATTTGTGTCTCAGCAGTTTCTAGCACAGCTCATCTATCGCATTTTCTCTTTGTTAAGGTTAGATTGGTGCTCCCTTGTTGTTCTCCTGTGCTAAATACTCACTGTCCAGATAGCGGCTGCGGTTATAAAAGAAGAGAAATTGAGCTGAGACAAGAAGAAATATGCTCTGGCCCCTGAATATCTACTTGTTCTTATGCAGTACATGTGGCTGTGCACATGATCGTGAATCATAACTCTGACTGGCATCCCACTTGGAATGAGGTTCTATATTTGTGTGCTTACAGCTACTAACATACCTCATAATACACCGCAGTGAGTAGTAACATATTCTTGGCGATTATAGTACATGTACGCTTCGACATGGGCAATGACAACCCTGTCAAGGTATAGGTCACTTATTGTCCACAGAAAAAGATGCTGATTGAATCATGATACTGACTGAGGTATATAATTACTCTGAATGCATGTATAAATACCATGCCATTAGTTGCTCTTTTATTCCCAAAACAATGAAGTACCAAGAATTCATGCACTTCATTTGTCTTGTGCTTGCCATAGTATGTCTTTACAGTTATCCCCTGTTGCATCTGATCTTACATATTTACTCCTAGATTCATGTGATTGAAGCATGTCCAGTACCAGGCGTGGCACCATGCAAAGGCGAGTCGTGTGCATGGTGGCCCATGGAGAGAAGTGAAAAGCATATGAGGGAAACCAAGGGACCCGTGATATACAGTTCAAGAGGAAGATATCTCCAAAGGGCAGAAGCAGAGGATGTATTCTAAGAGAACACGGTTATTAGCTGCTCGTGCTTTTCCGGCTCTCAATGTGTATGATTAAATCACATCATCCTGTGCCAGCCGGAAATGGCCCTGCTGGGTTAGAACATCTACTGTAAATCGATTATAGAGTAATCTTATGACATCCCGGTATGTGAACAAATAGAACGTGGTGCACAGTAGTGGACATGGGTATTATTCTTCCCTCACATGAGTAGATGGTGGGCCAGGCACTTGCTGCTGACTTGTTCTAGAATCTTAGGTCCTGGGCTACCAATGGAAAGAATTAGGAGAATGATTTCTCCCAGTGGCGGATCAACACAGGCCGAATAATAGGCGGATATGTAAGATTTAGTATGCATTTCCTTTGCTTGACTAGCGACTCACATATAGCTAAAGTTGTTATCTTTGTGGTGTTATTACCTTCTGCTGTTTGAGTCAATACACTGAGCCCAAGAAGAACCTTCTTATGCCCCAGC